TTCACATCAAATTGTTCTATGCTTTCCTTTACGCGTATCCACATCACGTTGTTCTTAGCTATGCTTTACGTGTATCCATATTCCGTTTTTCTTAACTATTCTTTACGTGTATCCACATGACGGAGTTTCTTTCGTTCTCTAAGTATATCCACCTCACATTGTTTAGAGCTTTTCTTTACACGTATCTTCATCACACTGTTTTTAGCTTTTCTTTACGTGTATCCACATGACGGAGTTTCTTTCGTTCTCTAAGTATATCCACCTCACATTCTTAGCTTTTCTTTACACGTATCTTCATCACACTGTTTTTAGCTTTTCTTTACGTGTATCCACATTACGTTGCTTTCTATCTTACTTTACGTGTATCCACATCACGTTGTTCTTAGCTTTTCTTTATCTCCCCGTTTACCCACCTCTCTTTGTTCTTAGATTTTCTTTACGTTTATCCACATCACGTTGTTCTTTGCTACTCTTTACGTGTATCCACATCACGTTTTTTTAGCTTTTCTTTATGTGTATTCACATCACGTTGTTCTTAATTTTCTTTACGTGTATCCACATAACGTTGTTTTTTATACTTCTTTATGTTTATCCACCTCACGTTGTTCTTAGCTTTTTTTACGCGTATTTACATCACGTTATTTTTAGCAATTCTGTACGTGTATCCACGTCACGTTGTTCTTAGCTAATCTTAACGTGTAACCACATCACGTTTTCATACCTGTTCTTTACGCGTATCCACATCACGTTGTTCCTAGCTTTTCTTTACGTGTATCCACATCACGTTGTTTACTATCGTACTTTACGTCTATCCACATCACGTTGTTCTTAGCTATTCTTTAGATGTATCTATATCAATTTTATATCGTTCTTTACGTGTATCCACATCACGTTGTTTTTTATCGCTCTTTACGCGTATCCATATCACGTTGTTCTTAAATTTTCTTTACTTGTATTCACATCACGTTGTTCTTAGTTTTTTTACGTGTATCCGCATCACGTTGTTCTTTGCTATTTTTTTTTTTCATATATCCACATAACTTTGTTCTTCGCTATTCTATACTTGTATACAAATCACGATGTTCTTAGTTTTACTTTACGCTTATCCAGATACGTTGTTCGTTCCTATTTTTTACGGGTATCCACATCACGTTGTTTTTAGTTATTCTTTACGTGTATCCATATTCCGTTGTTCTTCGATAATCTTTACTTCTATCCGCATCACGTTGTTTTTAGCTTTTTTTACGACTATTCACAACTCTTTGTTCTCAGCTATTTTTTGCGGGTATTCACATCACGTTTTTCTTAGCTTTTCTTTACATGTATCAACATCACGGTTTTTACCTGTTCTTTACGCGTATCCATATCACGTTGTTCTTAAATTTTCTTTACTTGTATTCACATCACGTTGTTCTTAGCTTTTCTTTACATG